ACATTTGTTATAAGGCTTGTTCTAGAGCTTCACCAAATAAAATATTAATTGTAAGCTTCTTAAACATTTTCAGAAATTTTGAAAATTGCTTATCCAACCTTTGTTGCCGAAGCCTCTGAGGAAATGAAAGTTGTGGTCTTCCCAAATCAACTTTAAATGGAGAAATAGGTCTTTCTAAACCTTTCAGAGTGTCCTCTTTTGGTTCTTCAATCTCTCCTCTTTCCACTTCAGTCTCTTTTTGAACTCTACCTTCCAATTCTCTTCCACTTCTAAGTTGAACGGTTATTAGTTATTCTTTATTCTGGTCTTTTGGATTTGATTCAATATTACTATGAAGTGTTTCTTGGGATCTATTACTTAATGAATTTGTTATTTATCAAAGTTGATTCTCAATATTTCTAATCGTAGTTCATTGACTTTGTAACTGATTTCCGAATTGTAACACCACTTCTTCCATAGACAAATTCTTCTCCTTAAATTGTGAATTACTGTTAAAACCTGGAGAATAAGTTGGTCTATAATTACTATTCCCTTGATTGTTCCAGTTTCTCAATGGGTTTACTTGATTGTTCCCCCATTGTTGATTATTACCATCCGTAGTATTATTTCAATTAAATTTGAGATGATTATTCCAACTTGCGTTGTAATAATTTGAATATGGGTTATTATGCTTGTTATTTATGACATTTAAAGTTTATAATGATGCTTGAGAATCTACCATTTCTACCATTTGTACCATTTGGCCTAATGAATTCTCTTCAATCATGAAAATTAGTTGAGAAAAATTTATTCATAATTGGTCTAACTTCCTTGAAATTGCAGCAACTTGATTTGCTAACATGGCAAAACATTAGTTTCATGAACGTTGACTACTTTCTTAAGATTTACCCTCTCCGAAGGCCATTGAAATTTGTTGGTTGTCATCTATTCTATTAAAGCATAAGCGTCATTAAATGATTTTGACATCAATAAACCACCAACAGCGACATCGATAATAGATCAAAGAAATCCAGCTAATCCATTGTACATTGTAAAATGTTTGAAGTAAAATGTTTGAATTATTAACCAATATGGTATAACATAGTGTGGACACTTTCTTAAGAGTTATTTAAATCGTTCCCGTGCCTCATAAATAGATTCCCCTTCAAACTGACTAAACTAAGCTTCGTAGTTTTTTTATGGTAGAAAATATTTAGTAAGGAATTTCTCTGCTAAATCACTCCAAGTTCTGATAGATCCAGGTGATAACGAATGTAACCATATCTTATCTTTATCTCTCACTGAAAAATGAGATAATTTAAGTTTTATAGCATCATCTGATATACCATCATATTTAAATGTAGCACATAATTCTAGAAAATTGACAATATGTAAATTTGGATCTTCAATTGGTGTTTCCCATTGGTGTTTCCCCAATTGGTGTTTCCCCAAACTAATTATTTTATACCATTTGGATAATAGGGGTTTAAGCTCAAATGAATCAACCACTACAGTGGGTTTTTGAATACTACAATGAATTTCATCCACCATAGGGTTTGCATAATCTCTCAATGATCTAAAATCTTCAACATTTTGATTATTTTGATTTGTAATTTCTTGAAATTTTTCAATAATTTTTAATGTTTTTATTTTTCTAATAGTTCTTTCTAATTCAGAATCGTAAGACACAAGTCCTACGGAACCTGAACTACGCATACATTACTATAAAACATAATAAAATAAAATAAAGCGAATAATTAAAACACACAAACAAAAACTTTATATAAAAACAACACTACAATATTCCTAAAATAAATCTTAAAATTAAAATAATACTTACTAAAAATTTAGTTATCCAAAAACTCATTTTAAAATTTTTTGCAAATTACTAATAATTATTTTCCTTCCTTCCCCGACAACAGTGCAAAAAACTTGATCCCGACATTCTATATATATATAAGTAAAATGCGATGTATGCAATTAATTTTCTTAATAGATGTTCTTAATTTGCAACGATTGTCAAAAACTAGACCAAACTAGATCTAAAGCAAAGGTTAGGTAAAATTTTCACTATGAAGCAAATAAGAATGATGTTAATATATTTCAATATGAGATACTATACAAGTATACGTATCGTTATCATGTAGTATAAAACTTTTTTATTAAGCCTGCTAAATTAGTTTTAGTTTTAGATGACAAAATACTTAGCAATTTATATTTTCTGATTCTAACCCTTAAAGTCTAAGAGAAAGAGAGATTTGGAAAAAATTTCTTCATGGGAGATGGACTTGAAAAAAAAGGAAGATGCTAAATTAGTTTTAGTTTTAGATGACAAAATACTTAGCAATTTATATTCTCACTCAAACTTAAGATGCTAAATTAGGAGTGAAAGTTCGATTCTTTTTGTAATTTTTGTTTAATTGAAAATAAAGTAAACAACTAATTAACAACTAATTCAACTAATTAACTTAACTAAAATACTTGCAAGATGAAGACAATATAAGTAAAATATTTTTTTCCTTATCATGAATCAATGATAAATATATAAATTTTGTTGTGGAAGTAAATTAAGTGTGTTGTGTCAAATATGAGCAATAATATTATTTACTCTTACTAGAGATGCTATAAAAAAATATTGATTAAGCTATAGTTTGAATAGTCTTGAAGACCGGCTTGACAGGAAAGATTCTAGCTCTCACTCTAGAGTTTCATCTTCTCCCTCCACTTGAGGGCTAACATCTCGTATCAAAACCTAAAACTATAAATCAAATTGGGGGCTTTAGCCTGACACTCTAAAGTTCTCTAATTCTACACCATTATATTTCCCTATCCCTATTTATTTGCACTCAACCCCATGAATTACATTCTCATTCATGAAATCAATATGTGATTCTATCTATTTGTTGACTGAGATAATACTATCTCGGATCTTACATGTTCTCACAACATATATTAACATCTTAATTGACCAAATCAAGAAGTAAATGAAGTGCAAAGTCTTGAATCATCACAACTTCTTCCATCATTGAAGTCTAATACTTCACAAAACTTCATTTAAACATTTAATCACTTATCATTTTAAGAAAAAAATATAAAAAAAATTATTCAAAATTTATGAAGAAAATACAGCCACACAAGAGTTTAAAGAAATCTAAATTAAAAACCAAGTGTAGTCACAAAGGTAAACACTTATCTCAATTTATCTTCACCAATGTCTTGAAGTTCCTTTGAATTCTCTTCCTTCTCTCACAATACAAACTAACACTCAAAATAAAATAAAATAAAATAAGGTGGTCAACTGCGGCGGCTTATATGTGAACTTTTGGTGGGTGGTTGCTGAACTCCTCTCCTGGAAAATCTTAGTCTTTTCTTATAAAAATTCAATTGGGTGCCTTGGTGTCTCTTCAAAAAGATGTCTCCATTCAATGAACCTTTTAGAAGTTGTCTCATCGTAAGCCAATTGAATGAATTTTCGTGTCCATTGGCTATTTACCACGTTTTTATCAAGAGTTTATTCAAATACCACTTCAAAATTCCGCTCCAATTAATATTTCTTCAAATAACTAACTTTGGCGCTTAAGCTCGGGGTACCTGGCGCTTAGGAGCCTTTGGTGCTTATGCACGGATCTAGGCGCTTAGGCACCCCAATTCATTTTGCACATTTCTTTATTTTTGCTCCAAATTTAACCATTTTTCACTCGTAGCATTTTTCATTCATTTGATTGTACCTACAAGAAAAAAAAACATTTATTAAAGCGCAAAATCTAAAAAATATGTATAAAAATACTATATATTTTAGGTGTATCACTGTGCAAACCAGGAAAATATTTCATAAAATGGTTGACACTATTAAAAATAGATAGAGTATAACATAGCTCAATAAAAAAAATAACAAAACGACAAAACCAAGTGAGAATCCAATTATCGAAAAAAACAAACAAACATAAATACCAATATAAAAAAAAAACAACTAAAAAACAATCACCATAATCAAAGGCTATAACAAACATAAGAAACAAAACCATCTGCACAAGCAACAAAATCAAAACATCTTACCAAACAACAACTTCAACCAATACTACCAACTAGACATAAAACAAAATCAAAACAAATGCAACCAAAATTGAAACACCAAAAATCAACAATTGAAAGGGCATTCATAAAGAGAGCTCAATCAAACTCAAATTCACAACCCAAAAACATCCTTTGGGATTCAAAGGAAATCCTACCAGAAAGAAATACTCCCCCCATCTTCTTGGACAACTAAATAACAAAATAATCAAAAGAATAATAGATACTGCAACCTTATTAATATCTGACAAAGAGAATATTCATAGAAAATCCCAATTATAATGTTAAGATTACATTAAAGAGTTGAAAAATAATTCCATCAAAATTTAATGTAACAACAAAATAGCCGAGCACAATAGGAAATAATTCAGAAAATGGTTAACATTTTAGGTAGAATCCTGTATATCACAAGTCAACTATAATCTTTCAAAAGAAGAAAAAAAAAGAGTAGCACTCCATTATTAGAAAGATATCCGAAAGAAACAATTAGAATAATGGACAATAAAAATATTGAAACAAGCCTTACAATTATTAAAATTATATATTTTTTATTATTTTTAAATATAATAAATGCAAACATGATTTGCAAGTCAATAAAAACTTTTGATAATACTATAGCCTATAGGAAAAAAATTATTCAACATCCAGTCCTTTAAAAGTTCTAAAGATTACATTTTCTTTTAATAAAAAAAGCTTTTAGAGGAGTAAAACTTATAACTTTTTATTAACGACTTCAGGTCCGCTTGGACAGTTTATTTAGTGCAGTGACGTTTTGAAAACACATATGATCTGTTTGGGTAAACTATATTTTGATAGTTTATATGCTCTTAAAACACTAAAAGTAATGTTTTAACACTGTTTATGTCTAGACGTGACGACAACTTCCTATTTTTCTAAAAAAAATAAAACTTGTCCAACATTATTTTTAATCAAGTTTATGAGCAGATTATTCAATGAGCTCTGCAGGTTTGTAATCTACTGTGCTCATTCCGACGCTTCGTAAGGTCTATCATAGGCGAGGCGGGAGGAAAGCAAACCCTCGACACTCTCTCCCGGATCCGTCTAATTCTCGCAGCTTCTTCATCGGGCGGCTATTTTCATTACAGCCACAAAAATGTCGGGTGGCTTCTTTCGTGTAAATCTCTTTATCCCTAAACCCTACTCTACCAGTCCGATTTTTTGGCTTTCCTTTGTTCACACCATTCGATTTCTCTCATGGTTTTATTCAATTAGGAGTTATAGGAAGGATGGGTTAGGGTTGCATTGATTCAGGCTTGTTCTTTTCAGGGGACCTCGGCGGATCAGGATACTCGGTTCTCCAACAAGCAGGCGAAGCTTCTTAAGTCTCAGAAATTCGCGCCGGAGCTTGATCAGTTGGTCGGTATTTGTTATTTGATTGTTTTTTTTTTCTTTTATTATTTACGTGGAAGGGGTTTGGGAGCTAGGTGAATTAAAAGCTGACTTGCGGTGGTTGTTTTTTTTTAGGCGGATCCTGAGTTTTGCATTTTTATTTTGGTAGCTTTGTCTTTAATATCAGGTTTTTGATTTTAGCAGAGAAATGCAAACGAGAAGCTCGCTTCTCTTCTTCTTTCAAATGGTGAATGCTAAAATGTCAAGAGCTAAATGTTTAGGTTGATATGACGAAGGTGAAGATGGACGTTATCAGGCCTTGGATCGCGACTAGGGCGACTGAGCTGCTTGGGTTTGAGGACGAAGTCCTCATCAACTTCGTTTATGGCCTCCTGGATGGGAAGGCAAGTTGTTTACATTGTGCTATTAATAGGTTTTGATGTTTTTTTGAGATCGCACCACTTTTTGTATACATTTGTATATATACAAACCGTGTTTTCAACAGGTGGTTGATGGTAAGAAGATTCAAATCCAGCTGACTGGATTCATGGAAAAGAATACCGGCAAGTTTATGAAGGAGCTCTGGACTCTTTTGCTTAGTGCCCAGAACAATGTCAGTGGTGTTCCCCAGCAGTTCTTAGATGCCAAGGAAGAGGAACAAAGGAAGAAGAAGGTATCTCTACATTTTATTTTATTGAAAGTATTCATATTAAGTTTAACTTTTTCTCTCTCTCGGACGCACACATGCACACACATATAAACACATAAGTGGAATCTGCTGTTGCAGGAGGAGAATGATAGAGTTTCTCAAGAAATCCAAAAAAGAAAAGAGAGAGCTGGTAGAGAACTTGAAAGAGAGAAGCTTGCGAGGATGGTATGCAAATAAACCAGACTATGAATTTTTATTCCTTTTTTCCCTTTAGTTGGAAAGTTTGTGCGCACGAGTAGCTTTTTTTAATTAGTTCATTTCATGCTGTTCAGCTAGCTTCTCGAGTTATTTGGGTTCATACTCTTCTTTACCTCAAACTACTGTAGGAAGAGGAGGGCAGCGACTCAAAGTCCCATAAAAGCATTCCAGACTTGGTTTCAGGACCATGGCCATCTAGCGGTCTACCTGAAGAAGAGAGAAAAGAGGACGGGATTTATAATCATAAAACAAGGAATGGGTTAGTATTTAAATGCTTGTTTTACTTCAATGCTATACTTTTATGGGGCATTTTCATACATACCACTACATTCTTATGAAGTTACATAAATAACACCTAGATTTTAATTTTTTTGTAGATTTTAAATTTTACATTTATACCACCCAAATATTTCATATGACATAAAAAATACCATCAATTTAATTTTTGAAAAAGTGAAATACACATTTTCATACATAGGTAAGTTGATATGTAAAAATTGAAGTTTAGGTGTTAGATATGTAAATGCATAGGAATTGACTGTTATGCATGTAAATCATTTTTTTATTTATTGAAAGCATGCACCCGTACTATAGTCTATGCTTCTATTAAACTTTAATTGACGTTGAGAACCTAATATGCTCTTCATACATCGCCAAACTCTAGGAATATGTTACCGAATGCATTGTCCTATGCTGCATGGTCTCTATTTTCACATCAAGCTTACTGTTTTTTTGGTAAAGTTCAATATATATTGATGAACTGGAATATTATTTACAGACCGCCAAACTCTAGGAATATGTTCATTATTTTTATTGATTTGTTTTTATTGTTTGAAATGCTTGTGACTTTGGTAAACCACTTTTTCTTAGGCATGGTTTCCTTCATTCAAGCATTTTTATTATATGTCATTGTTTGGCTTCATCCAACAAATTAAATATCTTTTCTGCAGGCACTCTATTTCTCCATACGAGAATGACCCTTCCCCTCCATCTCGACGGTGATTTTCCATTCACCATATAGATTCAAATCCTTATTTTGATTTTTTGTTTGAACTTTTTTTTTCATTGTCTTTGCAGAAGCTCACCTTCAGAAGCTAGGTCAAGCAGCAGGTCAATTGTTACCCTTTTTTTCACTTGGTTTCTATTATATAGACAGGAGTTTTTTAAAGTATGCCGAATTGCCGATGTAAATTGTTGCATTTGTAATTTAAGTTTATATAATAATTTTATTTTTAAATTATAGTTTCTCTATTTATGAAACGCAATGGACACTTGTAAGATCTTTCTTGTTTAGTATTCACCATTAGTTTTTACTTCACAACAACTGTCTGAGTTCCAACATCAATTTACATCCTAGTAGTCCAGACTGGCTACTGGTAGATTTCTGTAACGCACCTATGAATGTTTGATAAGTTATATTTGCTTTTTTCTCGGTTTCATTGATTTATTACATTTTGTGTATGCATTTGCTGTTGTGTCTTATATTTTTCTTGAATTATCTGGATAAAATATTTTTAAATATTTGTGCATACTTTTTGTGTTAATTAAATCATCTTACCAGTATGATTGTTAATTTTTATAAGTAGAAGGTGTGAGTAAACGAATTTTGTTGTTAAAACTCATAGATTTATCAAGAAGAAAGAGGACGCCCTGTCTCCCTTATCTCCATATGTTTATTGTGTTAGTTTAATCATTTTATGCATAGGGTCCATAATTATTAGAAGCAGAAGGTGAGAGTCAACCCCATTTCATTCATTATCTTCGCTACATTAAAAGGAAAGAGGGCGCCTAGTCAGTCTAATACCTGAAAACACAGTTGATGAATTATTTTTTTGATTACCAATTGAAGAATGTCTATCTTTGGCAACTAGATTTTTATCAGGATCATAGTTATTAGCTTGCAAAATAAATGCAGAATTTCTATTAGCTGTTTTGAACTGAAGATATTTATGTTTATTTGATATATTCAGAGTGGAAACAGCATCTGAATAAAACATTAAAGTGAGATGTGTTTTAATCTAAAATGCTGGGGAATCAGTTTAGTTTTGCAATAGTTAAATGAGAGAATTTTATATTTGTGATAATTTCTCCATTTCAATTTCTTTTTTTGTTGTGTATGAGGCGGACAATGAAAAAAGTGAACACATTTTTTTTTAATTTATATTTTTTGTTATGAGCACCTTTCTTTGTTTATTGATTATTTGTTGTATCTAAGTGGTTAAATAGTTTATCTTTTATGCTGAAATCTCATTTATAACCTTTATTAGGGAAAGGCATAAATCAAGGAGTGCTTCTGTGTATTCGGAGTCTCCAAGGCATTCAATTTCTCCTAAGAGGCGGAACCTCTCGCCTGTTAAACGGTCTACCACTCCTATCAGACATTATAGGTCTCCACATCGACATCCAACTTCTCGATCCCCTCCTAGAAGAACACCTCATTCTCGATCTCCTGCTAGAAGAAGATCACCTCATTCTCGGCGAAGATCAATTTCACCTTCACGGGATAGATATTCTTCCTCTTATTTTTATGGATCCCATGCACGGAGAAAATCTCCATATATGCATCGTAGATCTCCTTCCCCATCACACAGGTCTCCGTCTCCTGTGCGTCGCAGATCTCCCCCATTACGTCGAAGATCCCCTTCGCCAGTGTACCGAAGGTCCCGTTCTCCACCACGCCGCAGATCACCAACATATCACCGAAGGAGATCTCCATCTCCGTTTCGTCATCGGTCTCCTTTTCGGCGTCGGTCCCCTTCTCCCGCAAGAAACGAGTCTATATCTCCTATCAGGAGATCACCCCTTACTTTATCTTCCAAATACAGGAAACCGTCACCGCCCCGATCACCTGTGAGGCGGGTTGTTGATTCTTATAATTCCCCAAGGCAGAGGAACAGGTTTTAACTTAAAATTTTATTGTTTCCTTTTCTACTTGATGCATTGGAAAGTGCGCCTTAGCGATTCTTTCCACTTTTTAATGTTCAGGAGCCCTATTCCACATAGAAGTGAGAGCCCATTGAATCATAGGGACTTGAATAAAGTTCATAACAACCTTACTGACAGGGATAAATCTCGAAGGCCATGTGATGAAAGGTCACACTTTCTTCCTTTTCATCTCTCTTCTATTTTTTGGAACATATTTTGGTCATAATTACACTTTCTTCCTTTTCATCTGTTCATTCTCTTCTATTTTTTGGAACATATTTTGGTCATAATTTAATCCCATTTTTCATGTATCTTTCAGGATACAGAGGAGGTTGTCAACTCATCAGAACTTACTGAAAGAGTCAGACAATTATGTTGGTTCAGGTTTGACTTCTGTTTTGTTTTGATATTTGTAGATGCAAGATTATATTTTTGAACATTTTCTTTATAGGCACGTGCACACTCAAAGAAAAGTTCTTTTTTTCTTAGAATGTATTTCTTATTACACTTTGCTGGTTGCCAGATAAATCTCCCAAGCATTCTAAGTTTCAGGCAGGGAAGAGTATAAGTTCACAAAAAAAAAGCCGGTATGCTTGTATAATTTTAAAATGTATTTTTAATCCACCTTTTTTTTTAATAATGTGATGGTCAATGTTGTTTACATTGGACTGATATGAAAAACTTTTTGATAATTTGATGTTGAAAGGTCTTTAAGTCCATCAAGAAGTCCAGTTGTGCTGAGAGCAGGGAGTGTATCTCGTCATGGAAGTTCTGAAACAAGCAGGGAAGAGGAAAAAATCCCTCGTTCAAGGTTGCACTCTTTATCTGCTGTATTTTGCTCTTACGAAAGCTAGGGGTGCAAATACAATGTATTTGACGATGCTATGCTGGATAATTATAAGCCGTCTATGCTTTGAAAATGCAGGGATGTTGTGCATCATAAAGATAATATTTCACGCAAGCAAAGCACATATCCACCTATTGTCATTGAGAATTCGTACGGGAATGACCACATTATGGATGTGCGGGCCCCAAGCGGATCGGTTATTGCTGAAATCCCAGCTACACGCCATATACTGAAATCAGAGATCAAACAGAAGTATGTTGAGCACATATTATCCAGTACTTTATCTCTCAATTTGTTGCTCTTTCAATTCCACTTTTCAGTTTTCTCATCTGGAGATAATATAGTTACGGCTAAATCCATGCTTCACACCATCCAATCTTATGAGAACGAGTTTACAAAGTAGCTTAATAAAAAAAGTGATTTAAATTGGTTTTGTTCAAATACCCAACAACCATTTTGCTAGGTTAGAACAATGATTAATTCGATTTCTCTGATTTTTCTCCCTGAACTTAACACCCAGATTTTTTTTTTCCTGATTTCCAAGTTTTCTGTAATTTTCTCAATGCATCATGTCGGAAACCTTGCATACTAAACACATTAAACCTGATGTTCATGAATAGTCTGTTCTAGCAAAATTATTTTGCATTCACAGATAGTCGATTACCAATATATTAGGGGCTTTTGGTTGCCAGTGTTAGCATTAAAGAGTAAACCAGTTATAGGAATCCTAAAATTTCATATTTTTGGTTGTAGAAAAAACAAACTTACAATACCTTGTCGATGCATTTTGAACTCACCCCATAATTCGTTTTCAGTGTATTTGTAATTAGGTTCGAGTGAATTACATGTGCAACTTGTGACAAGAAACATTCAAGGCCTTCTTGCAATGCCTTCGAGACACTAGATATCACCACACCACCACCATCAACACTCATTGCACCTTGCATTGCACCTGTGACACTACCCATTAGTTTATCAACAATTACTTACTCCGCATCACATCACACCATATCCCATCAGAAGACTCCTATTATATTTTGCACATATGGCTCTTGTTCTCATCACGATGCTTTGGGACGCCTGCCTACAATAGTTTCAAATTTGACCTCCCTGTGACTTATCTCATGCGATGCGATGGTTTGTTATTCATTGCAACTATACTGGGATGCTTACCACTAGGGTTGTGCCGCCTGCCTAGAGGTTTGTTTGTTTTTATATATATTTTTTAAATTTATATTCATTTTACTTCAAATCAAATATAAAAAATTGCCTCTTAATTTTTTTTTTTACAATTGATCAAACAGTTCTAAATATTTCAAATAGATTATATTTACTTTACATTGTATTTAAAGTACTTATGATATGTAAATACTCACAATCAAATAGCTCCTAAAAGAGTAACCTCAAAATAAATGATTACATGGTGTATATATATACCCAGGAATATTTTTGATTTATGCTGTCAAACACTACAAGGTTTCAATAAACATAAAGAATAATGTAGTTACACTCCATGCATGGGTCTGATTTTGTTCTTAGTGGTCTAAATTGGTGGATTTTTTTGAAAACAAGTTTTATGTGCCATCTTGTTGACTAGGGTATTTATGTTTCATTGGTTAAGCATCCTACTAAATATCTTTCCTATATGCCCAGGTTTGCATGTATTGCACTTGTAATCCAAATGGCCACAAGCTAGAATTTCTTTTAGTGCACTGGATGATTAGAGTATGTGCCTATATCCATTTGTCGCTTTAAATTATGGTTTTTATGTGTATACCACACTCGATTATTACAAGTCTTCTATGGAAGAGTGAACTTAAATTACCAAAGTGTACGGACTTCGTGCCTTGTCAATTTGCATAATTACTGGAGAAAATTTTGAATGCATTGCTTGGGAGTGATTTATTATCAGCATATTTCCAGTAACTTCTTTTGCATATTTGCTTTGTCTCCGGAGCATTGTGAAACACAAAACATTAGCCTAACTTTCAGAACAAGCTAAAGTGATGGCTTCATTGAGATTTACTCAAGAATTACAATATTGGAAGCCTTTCAAACGGATGCTCGCTTTCCAGCTCAAAGCTACAAGCTACCTTAATGTATAACCAGAGTGCATTGATTTCTTAGGGTCTCAACTTTTCTACTGCACATGTAATATTAAGATTCTAACAAATTTAGCAACAAATGTCAAAATTCAATGGAAATGAACCATCAACCTTAATCAATTATTGGCTGCCTAGGTTGAAATTAAAAATACATTATAAATCAACCTCGATAAAAAAATAAAAATCAACTCTAAAAAAAATCAAATGACCTTGTACTAAAATGGCATCTAGAAATTAGTCATTAACCACTTAAATACTTTAAATTCATGCACTTGTTGAAAATTAAACTATCAAAGAATGATAAATTTAGGTAAAGAAAATAATAGAAGAGACTTCACTAGAAAAGGCAAACGTTGAGTCTGTATTTTTTAATTTGAGTTTTGGGGATGCTTATAAATGTTTAATGTGTGGTACCATTGCGTTGGCTTGTTTGTTGATGATACATTGCTAATTGGTGAGATATACATAAAGTGAAAAATTATAATAACCGTGATAATGTTTATGAAGGAAAAAATTATAATTAGTCGAACAAATTGAATGCATGGTATGCATTTTTTGTAGGTGTATTTTTAGCATTGATCAGTCACTTTTATGAGAAGATAATATAATACTTAGGTGTGATAGGTATAAGTATCTTTTTTTTAGATGGATGAATGGAGATATAGGTGGTAATGCAATGTTTAGATTTAAGGTTAGATTGTCAAAATATAGAATTAATTTTGTGACATTTTTTTATGAAATAATGTCTTGGAGTTCTAAAAGTTAATTTTGATAAATTTATTGCTAGGTTGTTGTATGGATTTGAATATTGGCAAGTTAAAGTGTTATTGATGTCTAATTTGAGAATTGAGCAAATTTGAGTATTAAGTGTGTATATGGAAAATTAGGAAAATTAAGTTAAAGGGTAATTATTTTAGAGAGTTTTTTGGAGTTTTTGAAAGTTAGGTAATTGAAAATAGATATGGTGGTTTGGACCAATCTTTTAAAAACTAGACCGGAGTGACTGCGAATTGGGTCTAGGGCCGGTTCCAGTTTAACTTAAACTCGTATCCTACATCGAATCGTTCAAAACACGGGAAAACTGACGATTCATTGCTGAAACGAAGGTTTGAGACTGGTTTCCTGTCCAATTTTCTGCCCCCTGCTCCGTTTTTTGCGTCCAACTTCTGACGCTCTGTGTCAGAAGTAGGTGCAGGCGTGCAACTATAATAACATATTAATATAAGCCTGTAAGGACATTAATTATCCCTTCTTGTTGCCCAAAATATGGGCTTAGAGTTAGCCTCTCCAAAATATTCCACTTTTAAAAGGGGCTTGATCAAATTTAGCAAAATCGATTGGAGAGATGATTTCACTAGGTTATATTATTCATTGCAACAAAATATTTAAGGCATCAATTATGTTATTATTACTTAATTTATGTTATTTTTAAGTAAATTTATGATTTATTATGACTCCCGGGGTTCAACCCCGGTTCTGACTTTGAATCTTAAACTTCTTCCTTTATCGGTTCAATGTCGAGTTTTCAAAACCTTGGTTTGGACATATAAAATTTTGTGTATTAGGTGCGACCATTATAAACATTAAATTAATATTAGAGGATTATGCAGAAGAGTGAATAGTCCCTGTGGTAGAACCTCCTTTAAAATCGGGATAAATTATTTCACCCCCCCCCCCCCCCCCCCCCCCTCATGGACCCCCCCCGAGCGACACACCAAACAAAAACACAAAAGACTCATAGGAAAAAATGGAACAAAAAATTTAAGGAGGACCCCCAATTAATTGGAATGAGCATAATAATAATGATGACAACTTTCCAACTTATAAAAATATTTAAACTTTTAAATTTTCTTGTTTAATCTTCTTTAATTAATTGGACAATTAGTTTATGTAACCAATGAAGAGTATTATTTTTTAAGTATTTTTTTTCCATACCAACCAATTAGTCCATCAATTTTATTTTAAAGAATTAATTTTTTGGCAAATCTACCTTACACATTTGAAATTAATTTGTTGAGAGACTGGATGCTGATTTATATTTGTCAATGATAGATAATGCATCATAATGCAAAGCTTCCGTGGAGCCATCACACGTAGCGAATGGTGTAGCATGCAGTTTGTTAAATGTAGCTCAAAATATTAAAATAATTATGCATGAATGTTATGTTCTGAAAGACAATTTGATTGAAAAATAAACTTTCATGTTAGTGAAAAGAAAATTATAAATAATCGATCACTTTTTATATTGTTAAACATTGATGCTTAGGCTCAAGCTCTCAAACACTCAAAATTAAAATTATTACAATCTTTGCTTGCGAGTTTCATGTTTGAAAAAAAAAATATCATTATCTAATATCTTAATTGTCTTTATCATTCATTATTGTCATATTCATTTGCAGTGCTGGAGTGTTAGGTGTTTAGCTCAAGCATTCAAACGCTCAAAATTCAAAACATTAAAATCATTGTTTGAAGTCTCATGTTAAAAAAAAAAAAGGTAATCATCATATGCTAACGTATCTCCTTCGCCATTATCATCATTATCCAATAAATCATAATTGTCTTTATCATTCATTATTTTTATATTCTTTTGCAAGGGTGTCATGCCTAGATGATATTTTTTCTCTTTTTCTTTAGATTATTTTCAAATATTAAAGTTATTTTCATAAAAAATTATTAGCTTTTGCAACAATTCTCCAATATATAATACAAAAGAAATTAAGAAAAATTAAATAACCTCAATTTTAATTTTATGCAATATATAATATAAATCCAAATAAACGCCGATCAAATATGATTGGAGAGAGTTGTCTTTTTGCTCACATTAAACGTCAGCCATCTGTTGATCCGGTTAGGAGAATAGATCTTTTAGATTTGACTTATGTTAAGAAAGGTAGAGGTAGACCTAAAAAGGCTTGTTCATTGTTGTATAAACAATGATCTTAACTTACTAGAATTAAGTGAAAATATGACACTCAATTTGAAACAATGGAGAAAAAGGATTTATGCAGTCAACTCTGCTTAGTGGGATAAAGGCTTGTCTTCGTTGTCGTCGTTGTATAATATAAATCAAAATAACATGTAAGGGGTTGCACGAATATTGTCCATCCATACCACATATATTGCGCTATTTTTATAGCCCCCACCTTG